AAAAAAAAAAAAAAAAAAAAAAGAAATTAAAGGAACCGGTTTGTGCCTTTTTTTCCTTCTCTGAAGACCTTCAAAAGGGTCTGGTTTCGTTGGGGGGGGTCGCCTATAAATGTGAATTTATTTTTTTTCAGAGCTGGAATGTATTATGCCTAGAAAATAAAGGGCAACTGTTTCTCGTAGGAGAGGCATTTTCAGCTCACATAAAGAAGAAAAAAAAATGCAATTTGTATTTTGAAAAGTGCCCTTTTGCCTTTTGAAGTTTTTTTCCCCCCAGAATTTTTTCGTAAGGTGCCATGTCCTTTTCTAATACATGACAAAGTATCTCAGTATGGCAAGATTCTGTTTTTTTTCTTGACTCTGTCAAGTCAAGGCTTGCTTTTGGGATGTGACAGGAGTGGTAGAATGCGGTCCTTGAAATAGCACTGTACAAAGTATATCTGAAGCATATGAATAGGTTCCTTGAAATTGTGATGTGCATCATGTTTTAGAAATTGCATGGATGCTATAATCTTACATTCCCATTTTTCTAAGTAAGGTTAATGGGCAAGCTCAAATCATAGCTTATAAACAAACTTTAATTTCTCTGATAGGCTTTATTACAACCTAAATCTGGTGTTTCTTGCATAATATTAGATTTGTATCTATTTTTTTTCTTTCATTTTTATCTTGTGTTTAAAAAAACCCGAACACCTCAATTTAAAAGGTAACATTGTCACTTTCCACTGTCTGAGTTAGATTTGGCCCCTTTGCTTCCTCTGCTTTCTCTTCCAGATAGGGCTGTTAAACTGCTGGGAAGAAATATTCCCTCAATTCTGAGGATGACTAAAGGAGTGGATCTGAAGATAAGCAGAAGGCTTTGCATTAAACCCCAGGAAGAAAGTCAACTTCGGTCAAGAAGTAAGAGTTTCTGATAAAGATCATGCTACATTTCATGCTGTGAAATATTTAGATAACCAGGCTGCAATCACCCGAACAGGAATTTGGCTGATAAAGATGCTGATATCTCTGATTTTGAGAGAGGGAATTCTGATCCTTAGACTGAAAAACTGACTATTAAAGTTAGCAATAAGATCTTGATTTTCAAGAAAGCCAGGGGGCAATATTTCTTCTTGTGACAATAACACAGCTTTCACTTTGTAGCAGGTTACTAGTATCTTATCTGACGTATGTTGATGCTCTTCAGCTGAACTCTAGAACTAGCTGTTCAACCCTGATGTAAACTATCGATGTTGAAGAACATCATACGAGCTAAAATACTTCCGCAGTTTTTAGTAGTACAGCCAGTTTCAGCTCTTCACAAAATTGAACATGCTCAGCAGGAGCGAGTCAGTCTGATTGATTACTTCATGTTTAAGCGTGGAGTTGGTCAGGTAAAGCTCAGGCCATGAAACATTTTTTCACTATGTATAGGATGATTATGATGCTCTAATGAGACTTCCTGTATAACACATTCGTGGCCTACTGATACTAGCTACAAGGAGCATACAGATGTGAAGCATTTTCATAGAATAGAATCATAGAGTCATTAAGGTTCGAAAAGACCTTTAAGGTCATCAAGTCCAACCGTCAACCCAACACTACCATGCCCACTAAACTATGTCCCAAAGTGCCATGTTTTTTGAACACTTCCAGTGATGATGACTCCACCACTTCCCTGGGCAGCCTGTTCCAATGCTTGACCACTCTCTCAGTGAAAAAATTTTTCCTAATAGCCAATCTAACCCTCCCCTGGCGCAACTTGAGGCTATTTCCTCTTGTTTTATCCCCTTCCCACTTTGAATCTAGTTTAAAGCCCTCTCGATGAGCCCCGCCAACTTATAAGTGAGGATCCTTTTCCCCGTTGGAGATAGTTGAACTCCATTTTGCATAATTCTGTGTTAAAAACATAATGCAGCTGTACTGGGTAAATCCAAAGGTCTCCTTAACAGTATCATGTCTCCAGTAGTGGCCAGTAAAGGAGGTTCCTTACAATTTTGTGAGGACTAATAGGAATGGTGGCCAATAGCAAGGATATAAGGAAGAGTACAGAAACAGGGCAAACATAGTGTTTCTCCCCTAGACTGCTGTCCCAGAGGTGGCATCTTTGTGTTTAATGGTCCTCACTGGATTTTTCTTTCATAAATTTGCCCAGTCTCTTGAAGCTGGATGTATTTTTAGTATTCACATTCCCTGGGGAAGGAATGCCTCAGCTGAACCATGCTGTGAGAAAACAAGTACAGTCTTGTTTTTGAAACTAGTGTGTGCTATTTTTGATCCGATGTTCCTTGATTCAGTACCCCTTCCAAAACAGGATGTGTTCATTGTAACCCACACTCCCAATGTCACAATTCTGGTGCCTTCTGTTGTGCTGGAGGGAGCTTCAATTACTGCTTTTCCAGGCCAAAGGTCTCAGTCTATGATACTGTTTCTTACATGGTGGCCATTCCATACCTGTGGTCATCCTTTCCAATTTTCTCTGTACCTGTTCTATTTCAACTGTTTCTGAGATGAGAGATCAGTATTTCACATGCTTTTCAAAATGCTGGAGTCACAGTTTTAAACAATGGCATAATGATTCTTTCGTGTTGGTCAGTGTTCCTAGACATTGCCAGTAATGCTGTTTCAGACTATTACTGAACATTTTGCCAAAAGCTCTGTGAAACCCCGAGGACTTACTCCTCAGCAGTAATGGTTAGGTTAGAGGCTGTCTTCTGCATGTGAACTGGAATTGCTTCCTGTTCATATACATGGGGTTTCACTGGCCATCTCGTTGACTCGGGATTCTGAAGCCCTGTGGCTCCTCACACTTAGCCCTCTTCTTTATGTTTCTGAATAGTGTTGTCAGCAAACTGTCTATCCACCCTGCTTCCTAGATAATTCATGAATCCATGAGGCAGCACACAGCCATAGAGGATACTTCCCATTGTTGGGTTGGTGTTTTGGTGGTGTTGTGGGTTTTTTTTTTTTTGTTCAAAAGGAGGTGGTGGGTGGGAAAGCTGCCTATCTTTGAACTTCGCTAGATTTTAATGGTATGGTATGTATGGAAACCTTCCTGTATTACGTTCCGAACATTTTTTTATATGGAGTTTGAAAGACTGAGCTGAATAAGGGTCTAATCTTTGCCTATGGTCATCTCTTTAAACCTCCAGACAAGACAAAATCTTATACTCCCTGAAAAAGTTAACGTTCTGTGGTGCAATAGTGTCGTGTATTGGCTTTTCTGTAGCAGTTCCATTTGATTTATTTTTAACTAATTTAAATGCAATAGGAAAACTATAATATAGCATCTTAGGAAGCTTAGATGTTGGAGCAGGTTCTGCAAATTTAGAGCTACATATATAGAGATCTTGGGCAAGATTTGGCTTTCCTTACATGGCCTCAGTTTAATCCATATTTACGGGTTTGTTAATCTGACTGTGATATACTTTTTGTTCCCTAACCAACTCTAGCAATCATACTTAAAATTCTGCATTGCTTACCCTAATTGGTTTCATTACAGCTGTAGCAACTCATCTTCTCTTGACTGTTGTTTTTAGTGGTTTTTTTGGGTTTTGTTTGTGTGTTTTGTGTTTGTTTGGGTTTTTTAGGTCAGTCTCCTCTAAGGGTGCCTGGACACAAGCCTACAGACTGGGAGAAAAGATTTCTGTTGTGGGCAGGCCATTTCAAAAAAACAGAGGATATACCAGAGACTGTCTCGTAAGTGCCAGTTTTGAAGCTGTAAAAGAGGCATGGTCTGTGCGGGAATAAGTTACTTGAATACAACTCCAGAATAACTTTTCTTAAATGGGATGGGTTTTCACAGCTGACAAATCTTACACCAAACACAGCAGTGTATCGTCTTGTAGATGAGATGACCTGAGCAATTCTGTATTGCTGAGGTAATACATACCTTTTGATTTTTTTCTGAAGAGATGAGCAGCATCTTAATCAGTTTTTTCATTAGAAAAACATCACAAATCCGTTAATTTTTACTCTTCTCTCCCAATCAAAAAAGCTTTTGCAAATATTAGTGTGAGCTTTTTCTAGTGTTTTTCTTCATATGTCTATCTCCTATTGTGTGAAACTTTCATGATACAGCTATAAAAAAATAACTGAAACTCATTTAAAATATTTATTAATGAATGTCTGGGGGGCATGGGCCAACTTTCTTTACTCTTGGAATTTAAACTAACAAACAGTGGGAAGGCTCTGTAACAAAAATACACATATAGTCAAAATTTCCCTGTTGCTGGTGGAGTCCAAGTGTCAGTGCTTTGCCCTGTATAAAAAGTAGAAAATAAAACTGGATTTTCTAGTTTGCCTATCTAAAATGAAGGTCAAATTTAACAACAACAACAACAAAAGGCAATTATTAGTTTAAAAAACATTGCTGGTGGTAGTACAGTTATCTTTTAAAATATGCTTGTAATGCTTTTAAATATATATATATTTATTTAAATTTGAAAGATACAGTAAATCCTGTACTACTTGCGTAAGCAAACTGTGTAGATGCCCTCTAAAGATATTCTATTTGTTTGCATGCACAGCATGGGAATTGAAAATCCACCCATGTATCTATCAGTTTTTTCTAAATGTATCACAGTGGATAAATATTGTTAAAAATGAATTCTTCACTTTTGTATTGAATAATTTTTCCTAAAATTACATTTGAAATACATAAAGGCATACATTATTACAAGTTATTAAATTATGTCAGTTCATATATTTTTGCATACCAAACACTTATTACAAGTGTTTTTAAGAAAACAGACTTAGCAGAGTGAGTGAAGTCATTTCAATGGTTTATTGAAAGGGCAAACCAACTTCTGATAAAAGCTGACCATTTTTACAAGTGTATAGGGAATTCTTGTTTTATTGAGGCAAACAGTTCATCCAAAGCTGAGAAGACAACTGAGAACTATAAAAGCACAAAAGCTGGTTTTCCTGTCCTAAGCTGAATTAAGAGTGTGTTGTAAGGGCTTGTGATAGAACTCAGTAATCCTGCAAGATGTGGTGATCAGAAGTAACTCATTTATTAAACAAATGTTAATCTTAGCCACTGAATTGATTTAAAATGCAAATTGTGTTCAGATAACTATCTCTTTGTCTTGTATGTTTTAAAACCTCCAAGGTACTTCAAAAATTAACTAAATAAAGTTTTAAAATCCTATTTCTGTGCATTTCAGCTTAATTGCAGCCTGTGCCCAAGTTCATCGCAGATTATTAGCAAAAACAAATAATCTGGAAGCTAGATTTAACTGTTATTTTCATGGTAGATGGACATGTTCCCTATGATCAGAAATCTTGTACTCAGATCTATACCCTGAAGCAGTGATCAAATCACTTTTGCCCTCCTCTTAAAATCAAGACCAAACCTCTCTTCAGTTCTCAGGTGCTATGTGATTTATCATGTTATACTATCATGGATCCTTTGTTACTTTTTTTCCTCCAAGTATAACGGTCAAAATGTGGTAAAAGATTCCATATTCACTCATGCTGGTGTACAGTGATGATTTCCCAGTTCCATTAAATCCACTATCCTTGTTAGTTTTGGGGTATAATTACCTAGTTTGCATTTATTGTTTCATCACATGATGCTGATGCTTTTCTAGTCATGTGTAACTTTACAATATGCCAAACTTAATCAGTGAAACTATTACATCTCCTTGAGAAGGGAGTCAACTGCTCTAAATTCTACAAAGAGAGTTAAATATATAGGGTATAGATCTTTCGTTATTGTGGAAAGCATATCAACAAGGCCAAGTGCAGGGTCCTGCACCTGGGTCGGGGCAGCCTCCGATATC